GTGCGCCGCAACTAGAGAAGCCCACGCACTCCAATGAAGACCCACCGCAGCCAGAAAAGAAGGGTCCATATTGAAATATATATATGACTAAATGAATAAGGGGAAAGGAGGGCTCTTCTTTATAGTCAAATGCCAAATTATAAAAGTGGAGGGAATGTTGGAGTTAGAAAACCACCATTTGGCAATCGTTATGATAAAAGTTGGTTTGGCAAGCATCGTGAATGGATACTAAGTCTAGATGGGGAAAATATGAAGAGGAACAGGGTATCTGCAAAATCTCAAAATGTCTCCTTACAGATTATTAGCTGCAAAGGGCACAATAATAACCATGCCTTGGAGAAACCAGACACCACCTTGACCACTTTTGACTTTGATCAAAGTTACATCACCAGTAAGGAACAGATGGCCATTGTGGCCGTTGTGATGTGCTTCTCTGAAAAGGATACACGTGACAAGTCATATTGCAGCTTAGAATGCTAACCTGAATCCAGTCATGAAGAAGCCTCAGGAAAAAACAAACTGATGACCATTCTATAATATAACTGGCTTGTATTCTTTTAAAATGTCAATGTTAATGATAAAGAAAGGCTGAGGAACTATTTTAGAGTAAAGAAGACAAGAAGACATGACAACTAAATGCAATACATGATCCTGGACTGGGATCTTGTACTGGAAGGGGAAAATGCCATAAAGAGCATTGTTGGGACAATCAACAACTTTGGAATATAGACTTTATCTATCTACCTATCAATTTATTTAGGCTGCGTCGGGTCTTAGTTGCGGCATGAGGGCTCTTTGTTGTGGCACGGGCTTCTCTCTAGTTGTGGCATGTGGATTTTCTCTCTCTAGTTGTGGCGTGCAGGCTCCAGAGAGTGTGGGCTCTGTAGTTTGCGGCATGCAGGCCCTCTTGTTGAGGCGTGGGAGCTCAGTAGCTCTGGCGCACGGGCTGCCCCGCGGCATGTGGGATCTTAGTTCCCCGACCAGGGATCGAACCCACGTTCCCTGCATTGGAAGGCGGATTCATTACCACTGGACCACCAGGGAAGTCCCTGGAATATGGACTTCAGATGAAAGTATGGTGTCACTGTTAAATTTCCTGAATTTGATCATCATATCATGGTTAAAATAAAATTCTTGTCCTTGGGAAATATGCACTAGAGTATTAAGAAATAAAGAGGCATATTGTTTATAACCGACTCTCAAATAGTTCTGAAAAAAAAAGTTATAGTACATACATAATGATAAAGAAAATTTGTCAAAATGTGAAAATTGATAAATTCAGGTGAAGAGTATATAGAAGTTCTTGCAACTTTTCTGTAAGTTTCAAATTATTTCAAAATAAAAAGATTTTTTAAAGGTATATAAAGAGGAGAAATAGCCAACTTAGGACCTAGGGCGCATAAGAACAGTTCCAGGTGTCCAAACTCTGACTTTACTGTTGTTTGCACCCTTTCATCCACCGTCCTAAAAAGACTCTTACCCCAACCTTGCCGTATCCAAGGTGCCCCACCCAGCTTTTAGCTTCCCAGCCCTCGGCCTACCATCCTGTGAAGTCACCATTTTCCTTCCCCTGTCATGGGGAGGCTAGCCTCTTGAATACTTTGACCCCTTTAAACAAAAGAAAAAACCCACTCAAACATTGTAATTCACCCAGGTGTTCCCAACGACCTTGCTTCCTGTTTGATGGTAATACGATTTCTCCAGGCCAAGGGCAAGATGGATGACCGAAACTGTGAATGCCTTCATTCTTCCCGCAAGCAACAGATCCACAGCATACGGTTAATAAAATGGCCCTGATACCCACACACTATGAATTATGTACACCTGTCAACAGAAGCAGACTAGACCCATGGTTAAGAGCCAGAGGAAGATGGTCTGAATTTGGCTTTGACTCACCACTTAAAAGTTGTGTGACTGGGCTTCCCTAGTGGCGCAGTGGTTGAGAGTCCACCTGCCGTATACGGGGGACATGGGTTCGTGCCCCGGTCCGGGAAGATCCCACATGCTGCAGAGCGGCTGGGCCTGTGAGCCATGGCCGCTGAGCCTGCGCGTCCGGAGCCTGTGCTCCGCAACGGGAGAGGCCACAACAATGAGAGGCCCGCGCACCGCGCCCGCACACCACAAAAAAAAAAAAAAAAAGTTGTGTGACTGAGAGCAAGTCAACTAGTACCTGGAGCTCATTAACCATTCACTTAACATTACCCACCTTGTAAGTACAAGACTCCACTTTGGGAAGCAATGATACAAAATCTCTGCTCCTAGAGCTTACATTCTAGCTGAGTGAGACCAGGGCAAGCAGGTGCAGGGGAAGTAAGTAAGTAAATAAATAAATAAATAAATTATAGTGTATGCCAGATGCTTATACATGCCATGGAGAAAAACAAGGCAGATGTAACAACAGAGGGTGAAAATGTAATTTTAGATCAACAATTCAAGGAAGGCTTCAATAAGTCAGTGACATCTGAACAAAAATCTAAAGGCAATGAGGGAGCGAATCATGTAGATGGGTGAACACTCAGGCCACAGGGGCAGCAGGTGCAAAGGGCCTGGAGCAGGGACAGGCCTCAGTTGAGGGATGATTGCTTTAGTCTTAGGTGGGCTCTTGGAAGGCAAGACAAGGAATTACGCACAGCAGGAGCTCAGTATATGTTGATGGGAGAGAAAAAGGAAGAGAGAGACTACCATACTATATCCAGAGATTTTGAGATTGAATTTTGGGAATGGAGGAAAAGAAGAATCCGTTTCATAAAGCTGGAGAAAAATAGGTGATTCACTGATTTTACGTCCTGTCTTTCTAGCCTTCTCTTTTTTTTTTTAAATTTATTTAGTTTTGGCTGCGTTTGGGTCTTCATTGCTGCGCGCAGGCTTTGTCTAACTGCGGCGAGTGGGGGCTACTCTTCGTTGCGGTGCACGGGCTTCTCATTGTGGTGGTTTCTCTTGTTGTGGAGCACGGGATCTAGGTGTGTGGGATTCAGTAGTTGTGGCGCGTGGGCTCAGTAGTTGTGACGCATGGGCTTAGCTGCTCCATGGCATGTGGAATCTTCCCCGACCAGGGATCAAACCCGTGTTTCCTGCATTGGCAGGCGGATTCTTAACCACTGTGCCACCAGGGAAGTCCTCTGGCCTTCTCTTAAACATACTTCAAAGATGGAGATGATTCAAGGAATTTGAAGATTTCATTTTTGTTTTGCTTTCTGGCTTTGCTTTGAGCTGAAAAATAAGGACTTTTTTAGTTTGCTTTTACTATGTTTAAGACATTTTTCAGATAAATAGAACTCTTTAGGGCTTGGAGCTCAAATTATTAGTACTCTTAAAACAAATTTATTATTTGGAAGAAATTAGATACCATTTATTGCAAGAATAACAAGTTTACAGGGAAATTATTAGTAATTTATGAATAGAAAATCTTTTTTCCCCCAAATGGTCAAGAGAATTGGGTTTGAGATTTGGATGTTCTTTTGCTATGGTTTGTATGGTCTGTATTTGCTTCTTCAAATAACTTTGGATGACTCTTACATGACCACGTTATTGTTTTCATAAATGGTATTTTTAGGAATTGGAAATAACAGAAAGTTCTGGTAGACTTGCCACTTGTCCTAAATAACTTGTGTAGCTAAATGCCTCTTTCCCAAAAAGTGACTGAAAAGCAACATCAGACCAGGATTTTAAGTGTTAAATGGATGTTTTTATGTAAGACAGTAGCAATAACAGAAGACATAATAGTGGTTGGTTCCGTTGCTGGGCTTTTTTTTTTTCAACTTGGTTTCTGTTGTTTAAATTACAGAAGGAACATTCTTACTTTTTTGGTGTGTGTGAAGATTTTTCAAGAGTGATAAGTGGACAAGGTTCTCGTCTCAAGACACAACAAGTGCCCATTTTGTTTTCAGTGTCATTAAAGTATAATTAACTTTTTTAAAATTAATTAATTTATTTATTTGGCTGCATCAGGTCTCAGTTGCGGCAGGGGGGCTCCGTAGTTGTGGCTCACCAGCTCTGTAGTTGTGGCAATGTGGGCTCCTTAGTTGTGGCATGTGAACACTTAGTTGCAGCACATATGTGGGATCTAGTTCCCAGGCCTGGGACCAAACCCGGGCCCCCTGCTTTGGGAGCACGGAGTCTTATCCACTGCACCACCAGGGAAGTCCCAAAGTACAATTAATTTTACAGTAACTCCACTTTTGATCTTTTCTCTCCCACTCAAGAGTTTTGGGAAAATTTTTTCCTATTTTTAGCCTCTCTTCTACCTTTACTTTTTTACAAATTTGCATTCTCCACTATTTTGTTGAAAGATAACAAACTTCACAATATACCAAAATAATACAGCTGAAAATTTAACTTTATTATTTTCCTATTTAAAAGTAATAGAGGGGGGCTTCCCTGGTGGCGCAGTGGTTAAGAGTCCGCCTACCAATGCAGGGGACACGGGTTCGAGCCGTGGTCCGGGAAGATCCCACATGCCGTGGAGCAACTAAGCCCGTGCACCACAATTACTGAGCCTGCGATCTAGAGCCCACAAGCCACAACTACTGAGCCCGTGTGCCACAACTACTGAAGCCCGCGTGCCTAGAGCCCGTGCTCCGCAACAAGAGAAGCCACCGCAATGAGAAGCCCACGCACCGTAACAAAGAGGGGCCCCCACTCCCCGCAACTAGAGAAAGCCCGCGCACAGCAACAAAGACCCAACGCAGCCAAAAATAAATAAATTTATAAAATAAAAAGCAATAGATACTCCTTATATCATAAAAGGGGTGCACAAAAGGTATAAAGAAGTTAATTTTCAAATTACCTGTAATCCCATCCCAGAGAAAACTATTAACATTTTGGCATATTTCATCTCATCAGTCTTTTCCTATGTATTTTTGAATGCAGCTCAGATATTACCATACATAAAGTCTTATATCCAGCTTTTTCAACATAACATTATATTAAAATTATTTTTCTCTTATCTATAAAAATCCTCTTTGTAAACATAATTTTAATGGCAGAGTAATATTCCATCATATGGATATACTATCATTTATTTAAACATTCTCTTAATATCAGATACTTAAAGGAGAGTTCGTGGGTCAAAGCACATAAAAATGAAGACAGCTTTGTTTCCTAGAGAGGTTGTTCTTGAGAACACGGGGAGGGGATACAGGGAGATGGTAAGGGTTGGGGGAGGGGTCCAGGCCAGCAGCGAGAAGGAGCGGCTCAGAGGTCCTGGCCCAGCCGTTCCAGTTCATTCAGCAGGAAGTCCATATCCGCCCGCGTCAGCGCAGGGTTGGCCACGACCATGCGGAAGAAGTTGCCCCGGGTACCATGGGGCTGGTAGCCAATCATCATGGAGCCCTTCCTCACCATGCGCTCCTTGAGGATTGGGGCCACCTGTGGGAGGAGTGGAGCAACCTTCCAGCTGCAGCCTGGGGTCAGGTGAGGGGCTGGGCTCCCCAACTTGCACCTCCCTCCACCCAGACACCTTCCAGAGACAGCAACTCACGGCTCGGATCCTGACGTGGCCCCAGTTTACCCTTGCCACCACATCCAGCCCACTGGACCTTCTCTACCTCCTGCCTTCTTTCCCGTCTCACCATTCTCCACGTTACCACATGGGCCATTTTCTGCTAAATCCTGACTTTTCACTGAATCTCAACACTGCTTTTTCAGTCTAACTTCAAGCCTTCACCATCCTCGACACCTTCTTCTCCCCTCTCTGAATTCCTATAACATTTTTGATGTTTCGTATCATATGCAGCACCTAGTACCGATCTATCCTTAGCGACCAGGACATACCTCCTGGCCTGACAGGGTCGCTCTGTCCCCAGCATTAGTGAGCAGAACTCCAAGATCTTTCTGCCTCACATCTCTGTCCTGGGCCTGAGCTCCCAGCAGAATGCCCCACACCAATGATCTATGTACTTCACACTGGTGACTTTTCTTGTAATGCCCCTCTCCGTCTTCTTCTTACTTTCCAGAAGCATACCTTATCCCCCATTCCCAGCCTCACAGAAATGAGGACAAGTGGGTGTCGTCTTCCAGTTCACGGTCCCCACCTCAGGAGCAAGAGACTAGCCAAGGGAACTGCCATGCCACTTACAGCCAGCAGGGGGCGGAAACACACCAGCTGCATCGGTTCCCTAATGGGTTAACCAGAGCAGGGAGGAGACTGCCTACCTTAGCCAGCCTTTCACCATAATCCGGACTCCCCTTCTTCTCCCGCAGACTGGGGGGCACGAACCAGAAACACACGTTGACAAATTCAGGCTGGGAGGAATGAGGAAGAGGAAGGTGTGAGCTGAGGAAGGGGGACCGTTCCCCTCTCACTGCCCCTCTTCCCCAACCAGGGCTCTGCTGGGGAAGAGGGGCAGTGAGAGGGGAACGGTAGGGGGACGGGGGATGAAAAAGAGCACAAGGTCGGTCGTACCTCCATGACCAACTCAAAAGTTTCCCGCTTCTTCAATTCCTCCACCAGGTACCTGTGAACACAGAGTGAGACATCATGGGTGGAGGAGGAAAGGCAGAGATACAGAAACAAAAGCAACCCAGAGAGTGAGTCAAGAGACACTAAGAGCAGGAAAGGGGTGCAGGGCTGGAGCCCGGAGAGGGGAAACGGGACTGCCCCCACTCCTACCGGGCAAGGGCAAAGGCCTGGTCCACACGCCGCTCCAGCCCCTGCCCGCCCTGTGCCTTCCACATGAGCCACAGCTTCAGACAGTCCACGCGGCGGCCACACTGCACCACCTTGTCTCCAGTGTCCAGAGCCACATCATAGAACTTGTCCTGCTGGAACAGGTAGCTGGCCTGGGACCCGTGGCAGCGCTTGAGCAGGTTCTGTGGAGGGTGAGGAGACAGTCAGACCCACCCTCCCCGCCGAGGTTTCCTCCAGAGCTGCACTGGGCCATTTCTTAGCTCAGTCCACATGCTTCTTTCCCTGGAACCAGGCGGCACCGATGGGACGGCTGCCAGCTGACTGAAACCCTCTCTCTGGGTTTTCTTCCAACACTCAGAGTTCTTCCCAAATGACCCAGGATCCCTCCGATTACGACTTAAGCTGGGAACTTTTTCCTTTGCATGAAGACAGGGGAGTGAGGGAGCCCACTACAGGGGATTAGGGTGGTCACAGATATTCAGCTTCAGATGGCATGGCAAGGAGAACATGGTAAGGCCAGGAGCTCCTCTCAGGTGGCATAGAAAAGAAGACAGAGGTCCAGGGTGGGAGGTGGTGCCAGGGCGGGGGAGGGGCAGACCCACCGAGGTGTCCCGGAGAAGAAGAGCTGAGCACTGTAGGCCTGCAGAGAGGAGCTTGTGGGGATTCCAGGCCACGGAGTCAGCCCTGGGGTGGGCACAGCAAAGGAGGGTCAGCTGGCTCCCCCTCAAGCTGCCCAACCAGAGCCCCAACCTTTCCAGACCTCCAGTAAGAGGGGCTTCGGTCTCACCCCGGCCCAGCAGAAGAATTTCCAGGTCTGACGTCTGACCTCCCAGCCCCAATCAACCATCTCTCCAATCTCCCTCCTACCAGCCTCCTTCCCCTACCCCCATCTGAGCTCCCTGGTCCAAGACTACTCTCTGGATCAAGGATTTGAAGGGTGAGATTCAGGGCGTAGGGGGCTGTATGCACCTCTGGATCCCATTCAGGAGATGTCTATGTGTCTGTGACAGCAGGACACTCCCTCCCCAGGCGGCCTGTGGAGCAAAAGGAACAATGTGGGCTTTGGCCTTGGCCTCAGTTCAGCCCACCCCATCCTCAGGCCTGAGTACCACTCACATCCACGTGCAGCCACAGTCCATGACGCTGGCACACGTCTGCAACTGCCTCCAGAGGGTCAAAGGCCCCCAGCACGGTAGTGCCAGAGGTGGCACTGACCAGGAATGGCACAGCACCCTGTGGCAAAAATACAGAGGGAGAAAGAGGCTGTGAAGTCATCTCAAGAGCTACCCAGAGCCTGGTGCTGAGATCCAGCTCTATAAACTCTTCACATGCCTGACCTGGGCCCTTGCAACCTTACTGTGTGTTACTATCCCCTTTAATTTGCAAGTTAGGACACTGAGATTCAGAGGAGTTAAGAAACCTGCCCCCAAGCTGAAACCCAGAGATGGAATTCAAACCTAGGTCTGTCTGATGGTCTATTTCCAAAGTGCATACTCTTTCAACAAAGTTGAATGTCTTACTGGAAGATCAAAATGCTATTTTAAATATCCTAATAGTACAAAAGTTTATGAGGAACTTGAATTAGTATTCAAAAAACAACAAAGAAAAGCGCAGGCCCAGATGGCTTCACTAATGAGTTGTACAAAACATTAAAAAAAGAACTGATACCAGCTAGGGCTTCCCTGGTGGCGCAGTGGTTAAGAGTCCACCTGCCAATGCAGGGGACATGGGTTCGAGCCCTGGTCTGGGAAGATCCCACATGCCGCGGAGCAACTAAGCCCGTGTGCCACAACTACTGAGCTTGCGCTCTAGAGCCCGCGAGCCACAACTACTGAAACCCGCGCGCCTAGAGCCCGTGCTCCGCAAGAAGAGAAGCCACCGCAATGAGAAGCCCGCACTGCAGCGAAGAGCAGACCCCGCTCGCCGCAACTAGAGAAAGCCCGCGTGCAGCAACGAAGACCCAACGCAGCCAAAAATAAACAAATTTAAAATTAATGAATTAAAAAAAAAAAGAATTGATACCAGCTCTTCATCAGCTTCCAAAAAAAAAAAAAGAGGAAGGAACACTTCTGAATTCATCCTATGAAGTGATTATACCCTGATACCAAAACCAGACAAAATATCACAAGAAAACTACAGAATATATCTCTTCTAAATATAGACATAAAAATCTACAAAACACTAGCAAAATAAAATCAGCAACATATAAAAATAATGATACACCATGACAAAGGGGGATTTGTCCCAAGAGTGCAAGCTTGGTTTAACATCCCAAAATCAATTAATGTAATACATCCTATCAATAGAATAAACGAAAAAAACCCACATCTCAATGTGGTTTATTGATCATCTCAGTAGACACAGAAAAACATTTGACAAAATCCAACACTCCTTCATGATATAAACACTCAAAAAACTAGGATTTGAAGGGAACTTCCTTAACCTGATAAAGGGCAACTACAAAAACACCCACAGCTAACATCATACTCAATGGCGAAAGACTGAAAGCCTTCCCCCTAAGATCAGGAACAAGACATGGATGTTCACGCTCCTCATTTCTATTCAACATTGTGCTGAGGTTCTAGCAGGGCAATTAGGTAAAAAAAAATAAGAGCCATCCAGATTGGAAAGGAAAAGAGCAAAATTATCTGTATTTACAGATAACATTATATTATACCGAGTAAATCCTAAGGAATCCACTAAAAAAACCTATTAGAATTAATAAATGAGTTCAGCAAGTTCGCAGGGTACAAGATCAATATTCAAAAATCAGTTGTATTTCTACACATTAGCAGTGAACAATCCAAAAATGGAATTAAGAAAACAATTTCATTTATAAGAACATCAAAAACAATAAAATACTTAGGAATAAATTCAACAAAAGAAGTGCAAAACATATACTCCGAAAACTACAAAGCACTGTTGAAAGAAATCAAAGAAGACCTAAATAAATGGAGGCATTCCATGTTCATGGATCTACAGATTGATCACATCCCTATCAAAATCCCAGTGGGCTTCTTTGCAGACATTGACAAGCTGATCCTAAAATTCAAATGGAAATTTAAGGGACCCAGAAAGCCAAAACCATCCTGAAAAAGAACAAAGTTGGAGGACTCACACATCTGATTTCAAAATTTCCTACAAAGCTATATTAAGACAATGTGGTCTATAGGATAGACATGCAGATCAATGGAATAGACCGAGAGTCCAGAAATAAATCCTCACACTTACACTCAATGGATTTTAACAAGGATGCCAAGACAATTCATTGGGGAAAGAACAGTCTTCTCAAAAACCGATGCTGCAACCATTTGCATGTGGAGATATATACATTTTTAAAAAATTTATACTTAAATACATAGTTGAGGTATTTTCATGTTAACATATATATTCCCATCTTATTCTTTTAAATGGCTGCATACTACTCCAACAATAACAACAATGGCAGCTAATATTTATATACTGCTTCACTGTTCTAAGTGCTTTACACATAATTTATTTAAGCCTTACAACAACCCTATAAGTTCTATATTATGCTCATTTTACAAAGGAAGAAACTGACACAGATACATCATAATTTATCTATTGATGGATATTTAAATTTTTTTTTTAATTTTACACTTCGCTCCAGTGCACACAATTCTAAGCACTTGTGATGATGATTTATAAACTAATCCTAGCAGCAGGACACAGAGTCAGTGGATAGATACATTTAAAATGGTATAGGACTTCTCTGGTGGTCCAGTGGCTAAGACTCCGTGCTCCCAATGCAGAGGGCTCGGGTTCGATCTCTGGTCAGGAAACTAGATCCCACATGCCACAACTAAGAGTTCACATGGGACTTCCCTGGTGGCGCAGTGGTTAAGAATCTGCCCGCCAATGCGGGGGACATGGGTTCGAGCCCTGGTCCGGGAAGATTCCACATGCTGTGGAGCAACTAAGCCCATGCGCCACAACTACTGAGCCTGCGCTCTAGAGCCCGCGAGGGGGAACCCCATGCCACAACTAGTGAAGACCGCGCGCCTAGAGCCTGTGCTCCACAACAAGAGAAGCCACCACAATGAGAAGCCCACACACCTCAAAGAAAAGTAGCCCCCTCTCGAAGCAACTAGAGAAAAGCCCGCACGCAGCAACAAAGACCCAATGCAGCCAAAAATAAATAAATAAATTTATTTAAAAAAAAAAAAAAGAGTTCACGTGCCGCAACTAAAAGATCCTGCATGCCACAACTAAGACCCGCAGCAGCCAAATAAATAAATAAATATTTGTAAATAAATAAATAAGTAAATAAAAATGGTATCGATAGTGCTGAAACGCCCTCCAAGACGGCTGCAGCAGCTCCCATGTCCCCTAGTACGGAGGGGCGTGCAGGGGCCTCCACATCTCCCATTGCTCCAAGTCCGCATTGCTCACCACTGGCCCGCACATCTTCCTGAACTTCCTGCACAGACCCTGCCAGCTCACAGAAACCTTCTGTGCTACACCTCAGGTCCCCAACATCCTCCCTGCGGTGCCCCTTGGGACTCCACTCAGTGACTCAGTCCTACCCCTGCCCTGCGATCCGATACTGCCCATGGGTCTCAGCAGGACTACAGTGTCCTTGCTCCCCAGGCATCACTTCAGCCCACCAGGGAAACGGGCACAGAGATCAGGGGGAGGGATGAGGCGAGCCTTGAGTAGGCACAGGCCAAAGAACCCTCCAAGAAAGGAACAGAAGGGTCCCGTTCCACTGCCTCAGCACCCCTCACTCACTCACCTCAGCCTCAGCCAGGCCGACCTGCCTCTCCAGATCCTCAGGGATCATTTTCCCTCTGGAAAAGAAAACTCAGTGGGTAGGCGAGTAATAGGTTCTCTAGGCTGGGCAGCAGAACTGTCGAGAGCAGGGTAATGTGCAGTTAGCAATGCAGAGGCCACAGTGTTGATTTTTCCCTAAGAGGGGTAAACAGATCTCAGGGGACAGGGCGGAGACTCTAGCAGGCACTGGTAGACAGCAGAGGCAATTCGGTGGGAACAGAGCAGGGAGAGAAGTCCGCCGGGGTGTGCGCCAGAGGCCAGAGCCCCTGGCAATGAGAAGGCACACGGCGCCAGGCTGGGTCTGAGACATGCAGACAGAAGGACCTTCACCTCTCATCTGCCTTGACCATTCGGACACTGTCGGTGCCAAGTCCCAGAAAAGCAGCTCCTTTCTTGACAGAGTAATGACACTGTGGAGGAAGGCAGAGGGCAGGGAGGGTGGGGAGGAGAGAGACTGGTCAAACAGATGAGCCCCTGTAGGCCAGGGCTTCTGAAATACTCATGGGCCTACAAATCACCAGTGTGTCTGGTTAAAATGCAGATCCATCTTCAGTAGGTCTGGGCTGGGGCCCGAGATTCTGCATTCCTAACAAGCTCCCAGGTGATACTGATGCTGCTGGCCCATGGCCCATACTCTTAGCAGAAAGGGTGTGGACAGTGTACACTACACTGGATGCCCCTCTGCTACCCCCACACAGACGGCAAGGTGAACGGGGAGTGTTTACACAGCCCCCTTGGTTGGAAGGAAGCACATCCGCCTGGGGGCAGGCTGGTCTCGGAAGAGATGGGTCTGAGCAGGCAGAGGATCTGACAGGTCTCGGACTCAGCTGGCTGGAGATTAGAATCGGGGAGCCCAGGGTAGGCCTGTGCCTCTTCCCACCTCCTCTGATGTGAAAAGGGCCAGGGGCGGCAGTGCCCAGAGGCCCCTCTGTTTGCAATCCGGGTAGCGCTGATAGCGGGCCAGGTTCACAGCATACATGTTGGAGATGGAGCCACCTGTCACAGGGAAGGGGTGGTGGCAAGAGGGAGGGGCAGTGGGTCAAAACTGGAGCTTGGCTCTCTTGACCTCTCCACCCAGAAGAACTGATCAAAGAAGCACAAGTGATTGGCTACCAGGCCACGAGTTCTGAGGGCTCGACAAATGGCACGCTGGTAACCCAGACAGCGGGATCTGCAGATCCCGACTCCCCCTCCTTATCCGGGGCTGATCCCAGGATCCTCCACCACCCCACCCCACCCCACCCCCCCGCCAGGACAGCAGGCACTGATGCCATGTATTATTTGGCAAACACGAGGATACGGGGGACTGGGCAGCTTCTCTCTGGTTTGGCCGGAGCCCAGCTGGAGAAGAAACAAAGAAGAATCACCCCTCCCTGCCAGCTTACAGCAAGAGAACAGTGGGGAAGGAGGAACCCTTGAAAAGGCCAAAGAAAGGCCCCCCTCCTGTTTACATACCAGGGCAGAAGATGCCGTCCCCAGAGCTCCAGCCCACCAGAGCCCGGAGTTTCTTCAACACCTCGTCTTCCATGAGGACAAACACGGGGGCGATCTCATATGTGTACCTGCCAGGAGAGGGAATGATGAGAATGGGAAAGAGACAGGGAGAGACTCTGCGAGGAGTTGGAGAGAGGAGGTGGACAGAGTGAGTGAGAGAGGGTCCAAAGAGAGGACTGAGTTGGTGAAAAAGAACCAGGGAGGAAAAGATGAGAAAAAACTGGAGCCGGGAGGCATGAGAAAGCTTGGGAAAGGAAGCCCAAAGGGTACGAGGGGAAAGACTCTGCCAGCAGAGATTCCCAGAAAAGACGGGGGGGTAAGCACCATTCTCCTCTCCTACCCACCGAGTGTGTCTCCCACAAACCCAAATCCTTTCGGGGTGGTGCAAGGGGGCCCTGGGATGGCTCACTGGCTGGTGTTGAGGCTCTCAGTGACAATGCGCCCGGCCAGGGCATGAGGATCCAACCCTGAGAAGAGCTGGTTGAAGAAACGAGGGTGACCTGGAGAAGGGAGACGAGGGCTCAGAGTGGAGCTGGGTACAAATTCTAGACACGCCTCCCCGCAGGACCCAGGACCCACAGGTCTTCACACTGTAGCGGATCACAGCCCGGCAGCGCTCCAGGATCTGCTCCTGTGACTCCCCCTCATTCCGCAGCTCCAAATCCAGAAGCTGCTTCAGCTCCTCTGGCTCCCTCCACTCGCAGACCTAGGAGGAGAAGCGGGAGATTCTGGGGGCGCTGAGGCACCCCACTGGCTGCCCAAACCACATCTCAGCAGATAGAAGACACCACCAAGCTGCACTTACAGCAAATTAGGAATATTTTCCAAGCAACACATGAACAAGGGTAAATAAACACAGTCTGGCCCAGTATGTCATCCCTGAGGCACACAGAGTGCTGAATTCTGGGGAGGAGCCTGCACAGAGGAGGAAAGTTCTCAGCCAAGTTTGATGGGCAGGAGGAGGGGGGAGAAAAGACCCACCTTCTCGGAGGCACTGGTCCCTTTCCGAATGACCTCATCCACCACAATCTCAAACACATCCCGGAGCAAGGCTTCTGCAGCCACGGCGTCCCCGTCAAGGGAGAGGAGTGGTTGAGAGTCAGCCATCAGGAGAAAACCTGTGAGCAGAGCAGGAGTTATTCCCTACTCAGCCTGGGGACCCCACCTGGACCTAACCAGCAAGAACTTCAACTCCGTAATGGGCCTAAGGCCTAGCCCCAGCCTTCACTGTACAGATAAGGCAAGTGAGAGCGCCCAGGGAGAGAGCCAGCAGAAACAGGTGGGAAAGAAGTGCTGAGCAGGTAGAATCCAGTGGCCACTGCTCACCAAAGGCACAGGTGAGAAGCTTACCTTTCTGCTCAGGTCTTCGTCCAGGTAAGCTGGAAGCAGGGGACACAACTGGCTTTTTAGAGTGTTAGGACTAGGGCAGCAGAGGGAGCAAGGTATAGGCAGCAGTCACATGGCCATGACATCATTCTCATGACCCATGCCCTGAAGATTTGGGATAGGGCCAGCAGGTTGAGATAAGTTTCCTGAATAACCATTAGCTGACATGAAAAAGCGGGGAGATGAGATGTAAGGCAAAAACACATGCCACCTTCACTTAGACTGGAGAGGAACAGAGAAATGGTTTAGGCAGGCCTGAGAGGCCGATCTCTTTGCATCCCAACCCCCAGAGTCTTCTCAGAACTGTCCTGATTTCTAAAGCCCTCTTCTCTGAAGAGCAGGAAGAAAAGGAGGCCACACTGAGGAGGCAGACCGTTAAGTATAACCCTGTGCCTTGCAGGCTGAGAGTGCTCAAGAAACAGGAAGTGGCTGTTTGCTTTTGTTTTTGTTTTGTTTTTTTGCAGTATGCGTGCCTCTCACTGTTGTGGCCTCTCCCGTTGCGGAGCACAGGCTCTGGACGCGCAGGCTCAGCGGCCATGGCTTACGGGCCCAGCCTCTCCGCGGCATGTGGGATCTTCCCGGACCGGGGCACGAACCCTCGTCCCCTGCATCGGCAGGCGGACTCTCAACCACTGCGCCACCAGGGAAGCCCGGGAGTGGCTGTTTGAAGTGAGCACCAACTGTGTTCACACCAGGGTGCTGGGGTTGGTGGGTGGGGAGGGGGGATACTGATGCACGTGCAACAGTTACAGCCCAGGGCGCTGGCGAGATGCTGATCCCAAGCGCTATTCAGGAGAAGAGATGGATGAAGGCTGAAGCCTGAGGAGGATCTGCAGTGGGACTGGGGCTGCAACTTGAAAGCAGGCAGGAGCAACAGGACTGGAGAAAGGGAGGAAGAGAGGCATTCAGGGACAGGGGGGAATGCCATGAGCTTACATCAGGAAAGAGTATGGCTGATTCTCAGGTCAGTGAAGGTGCCTGGCCGGCTGGAGAGAAGGTCTGCAAGGACGACACGGGAGCAAAGGCAGGGTGGGCAGAGCTGCACGAGAGATTATGGAGAGCCTTGAGTGCCAGCCAGGCCAAGAATCTAGATTTTATCCTGCAGAAAATGGAAAGTCACTGAAAGATTCTGTGGCAAGGATTAATGTGATGAAAACAATGCTCTCAGAAGACCAGTGTATAGCAGATGGATGCAGAAGAATGAAAGGCCATTGCTGTAAACCAGGAAAGAGGTGAGCCACACGTGAATAAGGGTGATGTCGCTAGGGAAGGACAGGTAGAGGAATATGCAGGCTTAACCACTTGCTGGATTATACTCAATTCAACACTTACAGAATCTACATTGGAGGGGAAGGAAGGGTCAAGGACGACCCTGGGGTTTCAAGCCTGGGTGCCCGTAAAAGAAATAGGGATGCAGAAAGTGGAGGCTGGATGGAAAGTAAGATTGTTATTTCTTGGAAATACTCATCTAAGTGGAGGTGTCCAGGGCTACAAATACGCATATGGGAGGAAGTCAGGTCCAGAGCTCTGCTGAGATGCAGGAATGAGAAGCAGACTCGAGAGGTGGGGCACAGCTGAAGCCTTGTGATGGGCTCCATTCCCCAGGGGAGAGAACGCTCACAGAGATGGCCAGGGAGAGAGGGGAAAACACCAAGGCCTGGGGAACCCGCCAAATGAGGGGGTAAGAGGATCCAGGAAACATGGAACGGAAGGAATCTTCCTCTGGTATAATCCACTGTCAGCAGCCACTGGACCCCAAGCTAGTTGAAAACACAGGTCCAAGGGACCCCAGTGGTCCTATCCTTAAACTTCTCCTCAGTAGATTGGGTTTTGGGAAACTAGGGGAACTGACTCAGCCTTGGGAATAAGACTCAATCCTTCATCAGTGCTCACTCTGGCTCCCCTGACAGGTGGCAGCAGTGGGGCGTTTTAGGTGGAAAGGCTAGAAGGAGAGAGGCTAATAAAAATAGGCACCATGGAAGTACTTACCACATGCCTCATTCTGTACTTAACATGCATTATTCTCATCTTCACAACCACTGAAGTTAAGTTTATGACCCACATTTAAAGATGAGGAAACAGATTTCAGAGACACTACGTATGTAACGTGTCCAGGTCATGCAGCCAGTATGTGGCTGAGCTGGGTCTGGACAAGGGTGTGTGGGGCTCTGAAGACCCCGCCCCTAATCACCAGGCTCTGCCGCCTCATGCGGGGCTCCCTCAGCACTGAGCTTGCTATGGCACAAAGGCTTCTGGGCCAGAAGTGAGTACACCTCAGGGCCTCAGTTTCTGTAAAATAGGGGATTTAAAGAGAGAACCTCCAAGGTATCTGTGGGTGTCCATCAGCTCAGGCTGTTGGATACGGCAAGCAGGCCAGGGGAGTGGAAAACAGGCTGCAAGGAGGGAACGACTGGTGAAGAAAGAGAGACCCCAGGCTGGAGGAAGGCTTTTCCCAAAGCTCTGAAAAGAGGTCTGCAGGGAAGACGTGGCTCTGTCCACCCGGCCCCTTCTGTATCCATCCCACCAAAGTCACCACTCAGAAATGAAAGGTGGGGACTTCCCTGGTGGCGCAGTGGTTATGAATCTGCCTGCCGATGCAGGGAACACGGGTTGGAGCCCTGGTCTGGGGCTCTACATGCCATGGAGCAACTAAGCCCGCAAGCCACTAAGCCTGTGAGCCACAACTACTGAGCCTGCGTGCCACAACTACTGAAGCCCGCGTGCCTAGAGCGCGTGCTCTGCAACAAGAGAAGCCACCGCAATGAGAAGCCCGCGCACCACAACGAAGAGTAGCCCCGCTCGCTGCAACTAGACAAAGCCTGTGCATAGCAACGAAAACCCAGTGCAGCCAAAAATAAATAAATTAAATAAATTTAAAAAAAAAAAAAAGGGCTTCCCTGGTGGCGCAGTGGTTGAGAGTCTGCCTGCTGATGCAGGGGACACGGGTTCGTGCCCCGGTCCGGGAAGATCCCACATGCCACCCACATACCTATGGTCAATTAATCTATGACAAAGGAGGCAAGACTGTACAATGAAGGAAAGACATTCTCTCCAATAATGGTGCTGGGAATACTAGAAAGCTAAATACATGTTAAAAAATTAAATTTGGGGGTTTCCCTGGTGGCGCAGTGGTTGAGAGTCCGCCTGCTGATGCAGGGGACACGGGTTCGTGCCCCGGTCCGGGAAGATCCCACATGCCGCGGAGCGGCTGGGCCCGTGAGGCATGGCCGCTGAGCCTGCGCATCCGGAGCCTGTGCTCCGCAACGGAAGAGGCCACAACAGTGAGAGGCCCGCGTACCACAAAGAAAAAAAAAAAAGAAAGGTGGAGGCAAGGGCTCTGAACACCACCAGTTTCCTCCGGGGTAAACAAGGAGGTGAGGCATCACTACCCTCACGCCCCACACAGAATCCTGTCCTGGGGACCTGAGAGGGTTTTCCTTTTTCAAAGCAAGAGGGACATTAACCCCCAATATAGAATGATAAAGCAAAGAAACATGAATAACCTTAGGAATAGCACTTTCGCCCCTGGCTGAGAAGATGCTGGAAGGACCAAGTAGGGTTTGTTTAAAAATTGACAAGTTTTGTATGGACACCAAGTGGGGAAAGTGGCAGGGGTGGGTGGTGGGATGAACTGGGAGATTGGGATTGACATATATACACTAATATGTATAAAATAGACAACTAATAAGAACCTGCTATATAAAAAAATAAATAAAATAAAACTCAAAAAGAAATTGACAAGTTTTTCTTACTTCATGGGATCTTTAGTTCATAAACTCCTCCAGCCATCAACTCCCTTGTATCTTTCTTTCCTTCACTTACACAACCTAGATTGTACGGTCTGTTGTTTCAACCATTCTTTGTCCAAAATCCTCAACTCCCTGGCCCTAATGTCCTTCCACCAAATCCACCTGGCAAAACCCCAATCCAACTGGCCAGTCCTTCTCTTTACCAAATCCACCAGGACTGCTGAATTCTGCTAGTGAAAACCACCTAACCATTCAAATTGGTTTTGCTATAAATTCATGGTCTCTGTGCTCATTCCAATAAAACACACCAGATTAAATGCATATGTTTACCACTACTCCTTCCTGAAACCCCACTAAATTATATCAGTGGAATTTTAAATTCAGAAGAATAAAGCAGGGCTTCCCTGGTGCCGCAGTGGTTGAGAGTCCGCCTGCCGATGCAGGGGACACAGGTTCGTGCCCTGGTCAGGGAAGATCCCACATGCCGCGGAGAGGCTGGGCCCGAGAGCCACGGCCACTGAGCCTGCGCGTCCGGAGCCTGTGCTCCGCAATGGGAGAGGCCACGACAGTGAGAGGCCCGCGTACTGCAAAAAAAAAAAAAAAAAAAAAAAAAAGGAGAAGAAAGCAGATGAGAGACAAGAGGTGAGAGATGTGAATAACTGTAGAAGATAGAAAGCAGATGAGAAGTGGTAACTGGTTCAGCAAATGCAAAAAGTTAAAGCCACTCTGTCTGCAGAGGGTTATGCCAACAGATATAAGCTGCTTCTTCGGGCAGAAGCCCAGAAAGGCTCAGGAATTTACAACAGTAGCTACCTGGGAAGCCAGGAGGAAGAAGCACAGCTAAAAACGTGGAAATTAGATGAAAATTTATACAAGGAACATTTAGGCCCTCACTCTTCTCCCCCTGCCCATTCAGTGAGGCGACTCCCCTCTCCTCCACCTAATTCCAAAGAAGCAGGAAGTCTGTTTTCTAGAGAAACTGAAATGGAGCAGCTGGGACTTAGGGATGCCAAGCACAGCAGAAGTTGAGGAGGAGGCACTGTACTGAATACAAGAGGATTAGCGGGAGGTATCCAGTCAAGTCCTTTCTCCCGATCAGTGTTCAGAACCAGTGGCCTGGGGTAAACCTTCCAGGGTCAGGAGGCTGGAGGATTCCTCTCTGAAGAAACTGACCTCAATAGCCCTAGAGAAAAGACCTGACACTTATTTCAGTCCTCGCCCAATCACCTAGTCAGTGATGCCCACAAGTCAATAAATACATCCTTTCTATGCACTTGGGCCTTCCACTATGCCTTAGTGCCTCACTCTTAAATGTGAGCAGACAGACAGCCAGGGACTGCCCGACACTTGAGGAAAGCCCCTAATGTGAACCACGGAGGTAAAAACAGACACGCTGAAAAAAGGTATTTGGTAGAAGAGGAGAAATGCAAGGAGCAGAAGAAAGCTTCAAAAATTCAGGAAGATACTGCACTCATAACAAAAAAAAAAGGGGGGGGTTGCTCTCAAAGAGGAACACTCAGAGAACAATGAGAAGCTCTAGGGATTTAAAAATATGACAACTGAAATGACAGTCAAGAAAATCACACAGAAAGATAAAAATATAAAGAGATGGACAACAAAACATAAAAGAACTATAGAAGATCGATCCAAAAGGCCCAAGAGTCAACTAATAGAAGTTTCAGAAAGAGAAGGGGAAAAA